GATTTGAAGTACACTACAAGTGCACATTCAATACAATTATGCACAGTTATTTTTTTTTACAAGAGTAGTCTAACATAAGTACAATTAAGTTCTAGAAATGTCCTCTGAACCGATTTCTTTTAGTCATTTTTGTTTTCAACTGCTTACACACAAAATTTCTGAAACCTGACCACACACCAAATATTTTTTCTTTCCAAATGCAATTCCAATTACACATTATATTTTACGGTACTTGTAGTTAGTTAGTTGTAATATAGCAATTGCACATTGAGATACAGAAGAGCAGAGACTTCTCCACTAACAACGTATTTATTAACTCCAGTTTCTAGTGCACAATGTCAATTTATGATCCTTTTTTGCTTTGCCTTTTCTCAGGATTTAATCAGTCGACTGCGCTCTCCCGATCCACCAAGACGCGAAGAAGACGACCTCTTAGCATTGTGTCCACCGCTTACTGCGCTACAGACCAGGACGTCTTCAGAGGACAGAAGGACTGCGAGGATGATGGTTTGCAGCAGTAAAACACTTACAATGCCAACTATTTGAAGCAAATATGACTCGTATAATGAGGAATCAAATTGTTCTTGATCTTTAAAGATGAGAGCATTTGATGTACTGTGACAAATACTGTAACTTTCAGAACTTCCTCCTCAGTGACAAAAAAAGTTTACTGAAACTACACTGCAACAACCAGTTGTTGTATACAACTTCTCTAATTTAATTTCACACTTATTTACATAAAAGTCTTAAAGGCACAGCAACAAGAAACAGGCTGTTTACAGAAAGATATGGAGAAAATAATCTTTATTAAGACACTTTGTTTCTGTGTTCTGGTTCTAGTGACCCAAAATGAAGACCTGCTAAACAAACTACAAGGTTTGTCTGCTGGTGAATGTGTGCGGGTGTTGCGTGAAATGCCCCTTAGTGTCTCGGAGAAGCGCCAGATCAGGTACAGAATTCAGTGTAATACTCACTTTTAGACAGTGTTATTACATCTTTCAAAGAGTGCAATAATTCATTTGTTCTTTGTGTCAAAATGGTTCATTTCTTTGTATCTTATCTAAATGTGTCTTTTTAGAGCTTGGGTTGTCCGTTGGGATGCTGGACAACCTCTCTCTGCTAACAGGGCCCTGCGCTACCATCAGTTTAAAGCTTGGTTCTTGAAGGTGAATGTCTTCTTGTACAGTAACATTAAGATCAACATTAACACATGTATTTACATTTGGCAGTTTTCATGAGTAGTCCTCAAAAGGACTTGCTTTTCAACAAAGTATCAGTCATATGAGTTGCTTAACTATCAAACAATGCTCCTCATATCAAAGTATTATTTATTATATGTTCTGTTTTTATTTTATATTTATTTTACACAAGGTTGCAACACTCTTACCAAAACTTGGGACAGATGTGAACACAGTTTTACACCCTAACCTGCGTTACTCAATTTCTTCAATACTAGATATTGATTAAACATACAAATTAAACAAATTTCTGTCGTTCAGGAAAAATATATATCTTCATTGTATGTATAAACACACACACAATGAGGATATATATTTTTCTTGAATGAATGAATGAATTGTGTATTTGTATAGCGCTTTATTGTGTATTGCTGTACACCTAAAGTGCTTTACAATCATGTGGGGGGGGGGGTCTCTCCTCAACCATCTTCTTCTTCCCACCACACGGCAGAAAAAAGTCTTTATATAATTTTTATTGAATGGTCAGTTTTTTCAAAATTGTAATTGGTGGTAATGGCAAATGGTAATGTTAATTTTTCAAAATATTTTTTTTTGCAATTAATTAAATATCAGATCAATGGGTTTTATCTACAATAATTTTTCAGTTTTCTCTCAATGCTGATTTTATTCCTTCATCGCTTTAACAAAGTAGGGGGACACCAATTTGTACCCTATTCATACAAATAACCATTGAATGTGGCATTTTTTTATATTTTCAGATTTTCCGAGTAGAGTTTAATACTGAAATCAACAGTTCTTGATTCATTAACCTGTATGCACACTTGTTTTTGCTGCATAGGTTTTGTGTGGTGGCTGCTACTGTAGAGTCTTCCAGCAGAAATCCATACAGCTCTGGCAGGGAGTGCTTAAAAACATCAGTGCTCACTTCGGCACTGGGATTCTGTCCTATTTCATCTTCCTCAGAAGACTGTTACATTACAACATCATCCTCTTCCTCATCACCGGCCTTTTCCTGGTCCTGCCACAAATCTCGAATCCTCCATCATCAAAAAACAAACCCGTAGCCACAGCTGACCTCTGGATGCTTACTGGCATGGTAATATATATGTATATTTTAAAAAGTTGGTGCTTTATATTAGGGTTTCCAGTCCCTGGAAATTTAAGATGGCCTACATTTTTATTACTTGGACTCTGAATGCTATGGTTTTTTTATTCCTCAACAGGGCATTCTCACAGACTCTGTGATGTTTTATGGCCACTATGCCAACTCCACCAATGAAAACTGCAAAGCAGAAATAAAACTGTGTCCAGAAAATTACAACATGCCACTGGCGTATATTTTTACTATTGGAGCAGGCATGTTTATTACATGTGTACTTCTTGTTTACAGGTTTGTCTGTTTTCCTTATACATTGTGTTAATTAAATTTCACATCATTAGCTTGCTCTGTGATTAAGTGAGGTTTTGTTCATCCTTTCAGTATATCTAAATCATCCGGAAAGAGTTTCTGCATATTCAAGACTACCAGTAACCTAGCTTTAAAGGTTTTCTGCTCTTGGGATTTTAAAGTTAGCAAGAAACGGTCTGTTAAGCTGCAGTCGGTGAACATCTGCATTCAGCTGAAGGTTTGTGTCATTATGACTCTTCATGTTAAAACAAATTTATGTAAAAATATTAAGAAAAAATGCCATGCACAAGCATGTTGGTATATTTAAATAGATGTTTGCACAGTAAAGTCAAATAAAATGTTCTGGTTAAGGTCAACATAGTGATATGAATAAAAAAGATAAAGATATTGCTAACCCTAGGTTGCAACTTCCACTTTATTAACTTTCTAAAGTGTCAAAAAAGACAAGGCCAAAGAAGCTTATAATAGCTGGATCTGGCAACACGACGGAGGCTGTGCCTGTGCCCTCTCTCAAAACTCTCTCAAGTATTGTTCACTCCGCCAGCGTCTCGCAATTCTAGCAAACTGTCTAAATTGAATAAGCTATACATGCACACACTCGTATAAGGAGTTTTAAACTGCAAGTTAGTCATTCAGTAAACACAGGCTGGTCAACCACTTTAACCACCCAGAAAACCAACCTGAGTGTTTTAAAAACCAACAACAATCTTATGCTGGTTTTAATGATATGTGTCATTTGCAAACACTTTAGAATACTGTTCTGTAGTTAATAACTAGGAACAAATGGGGTACACAATATTAACATTGTAGTTACCAATTTCGACAAGAAATGCTGATTAATGAATTAAAGCACATAACTGATTGCGGTAGTTCTCTGTTAGCTCACAATTTTTTTTTTAACTAGTATTTTTTTATTCCAGAGAGCTACTAAGAAACTATATATATATATATTAGTGCTGTCAAACGATCTATATATATTAGTGCTGTCAAACAACACGCATGCATGTATATATTTCAGAAATTTTTTTAGATATTAAATATATTTATTTATAATATAAATTATATGAATATAAAT